TACTTTTACGTGTATAGGGCTGGTTCCTTTTATGTGGTTAGGGCTGGTGAAGTTTGCGTGTATAGGGCTGGTTAGTTTTACGTGTATAGGGTTGGTTTCTTGGTTGGTTAGTTTTACGTGTATAGAGCTGGTTAGTTTTACGTGTATAGAGCTGGTTGGTTGGTTGGTTAGTTTTATGTGTATAGAGCTGGTTAGTTTTACGTGTATAGGGCTCGTTAGTTTTACGTGTATAGGGCTGGTTAGTTTTGCGTGTATAGGGCTGGTTGGTTTTACGGGTAAAGGGTGGGTTTGTTGGTTGGTTGGTTTTATGTGTATGGAGCTGGTTAGTTTTACGTGTATAGAGCTGGTTTGTTGGTTGGTTAGTTTTACGAGTATAGAGCTGGTTAGTTTTATGTGTATAGAGCTGGTTAGTTTTACGTGTATAGGACTGGTTACTTTTACTTGTATAGGGCTGGTTACTTTTAGGTGTATAGGGCTGGTTACTTTTACGTGTATAGGGCTGGTTACTTTTATGTGTATAGGGCTGGTTAAGTTTGCGTGTATAGGGCTGGTTAGTTTTACGTGTATAGGGTTGGTTTCTTGGTTGGTTAGTTTTACGTGTATAGAGCTGGTTAGTTTTACGTGTATAGAGCTGGTTGGTTGGTTGGTTAGTTTTATGTGTATAGAGCTGGTTAGTTTTACGTGTATAGGGCTCGTTAGTTTTACGTGTATAGGGCTGGCTAGTTTTGCGTGTATAGGGCTGGTTAGTTTTACGGGTAAAGGGTGGGTTTGTTGGTTGGTTGGTTTTATGTGTATGGAGCTGGTTAGTTTTACGTGTATAGAGCTGGTTTGTTGGTTGGTTAGTTTTACGAGTATAGAGCTGGTCAGTTTTACGTGTATAGGGCTAGTTAGTTTTACGTGTATAGGGCTGGTCAGTTTTACGTGTATAGGGCTGGTCAGTTTTACGTGTATAGGGCTGGTTAGTTTTGCATGTATAGGGCTGGTTAGTTTTACGGGTATAGGGCTGGTTAGTTTTACGGGTATAGGGTGGGTTTGTTGGTTGGTTGGTTGGTTGGTTTTATGTGTATGGAGCTGGTTAGTTTAATGTGTATAGAGCTGGTTGGTTGGTTGGTAAGTTTTACGTGTATAGAGCTGGTTAGTTTTATTTGTATAGTGCTGGTTAGTTTTACGTGTATAGGGCTGGCCAGTTTTACGTGTATAGGGCTGGTTAGTTTTACGTGTATAGGGCTGGCTAGTTTTACGTGTATAGGGCTGGTCAGTTTTACGTGTATAGGGCTGGTCAGTTATATGTGTATATGGCTGGTCAGTTTTACATGTATAGGGCTGGTTACTTTTACGTGTATAGGGCTGGTTACTTTTACGTGTATAGGGCTGGTTACTTTTTCGTGTACAGGGCTGGTTACTTTTACGTGTATAGGGCTGGTTACTTTTATGTGTATAGGGCTGGTTAAGTTTGCGTGTATAGGGCTGGTTAGTTTTACGTGTATAGGGTTGGTTTGTTGGTTGGTTAGTTTTACGTGTATAGAGCTGGTTAGTTTTACGTGTATAGAGCTGGTTGGTTGGTTGGTTACTTTTATGTGTATAGAGCTGGTTAGTTTTACGTGTATAGGGCTCGTTAGTTTTACGTGTATAGGGCTGGTTAGTTTTGCGTGTATAGGGCTGGTTAGTTTTACGGGTATAGGGTGGGTTTGTTGGTTGGTTGGTTTTATGTGTATGGAGCTGGTTCGTTTTACGTGTATAGAGCTGGTTTGTTGGTTGGTTAGTTTTACGAGTATAGAGCTGGTTACTTTTACGTGTATAGGGCTGGTCAGTTTTACGTGTATAGGGCTGGTCAGGTTTACGTGTATAGGGCTGGTCAGTTTTACGTGTATAGGGCTGGTCAGTTTACGTGTATAGGGCTGGTTACTTTTACGTGTATAGGGCTGGTTACTTTTACGTGTATAGGGCTGGTTAGTTTTACGTGTATAGGGCTGGTCAGTTTTATGTGTATAGGGCTGGTCAGTTTTACGTGTATAGGGCTGGTCAGTTTTACGTGTATAGGGCTGGTCAGTTTTACGTGTATAGGGCTGGTCAGTTTTACGTGTATAGGGCTGTTTACTTTTACGTGTACAGGGCTGGTTAGTTTTACGTGTATAGGGCTGGTCAGTTTTACATGTATAGGGCTGGTTACTTTTACGTGTATAGGGCTGGTTACTTTTACGTGTATAGGGCTGGTTACTTTTTCGTGTATAGGGTTGGTTAAGTTTGCGTGTATAGGGCTGGTTAGCTTTACGTGTATAGGGTTGGTTTGTTGGTTGGTTAGTTTTACGTGTATAGAGCTGGTTAGTTTTACGTGTATAGAGCTGGTTGGTTGGTTGGTTAGTTTTATGTGTATAGAGCTGGTTAGTTTTACGTGTATAGGGCTCGTTAGTTTTACGTGTATAGGGCTGGTTAGTTTTGCGTGTATAGGGCTCGTTAGTTTTACGTGTAAAGGGCTGGTTAGTTTTACGTGTATAGGGCTGGTTAGTTTTGCGTCTATAGGGCTGGTTAGTTTTACGGGTATAGGGTGGGTTTGTTGGTTGGTTGGTTGGTATTATGTGTATGGAGCTGGTTAGTTTTACGTGTATAGAGCTGGTTGTTTGGTTAGTTTTACGTGTATAGACCTGGTTAGTTTTACGTGTATAGAGCTGGTTAGTTTTACGTGTATAGGGCTGGTTAGTTATACGTGTATAGGGCTGGTTAGTTTTACGTGTATAGGGCTGGTCAGTTTTACGTGTGTAGGGCTGGTCAGTTTTACGTGTATAGGGCTGGTTTCTTTTACGTGTATAGAGCAGGTTAGTTTTACGTGTATAGGGCTTGTTAGTTTCATGTGTATAGGGCTGGTTAGTTTTACGTGTATAGGGCTGGTTAGTTTTACGGGTATAGGGTGGGTTTGTTGGTTGGTTGGGTGGTTGGTTGGTTTTATGTGTATGGAGCTGGTTAGTTTTACATGTATAGAGCTGGTTAGTTTTACGTGTATAGAGCTGGTTAGGTATACGTGTATAGAGCTGGTTGGTTGGTTGGTTAGTTTTACGTGTATAGAGCTGGTTAGTTTGACGTGTAAAGGGCTGGTTAGTTTGACGTGTATAGGGCTGGTTAGTTTTACGTGTATAGGGCTGGTTAGTTTTACGTGTATAGGGCTGGTTAGTTTTGCGTGTATAGGGCTGGTTAGTTTTATGTGAATAGGGCTGGTTAGTTTTACGTGTATTGGGCTGGTTAGTTTTACGTGTATTGGGCTGGTTAGTTTTACGTGTATTGGGCTGTTAGTTTTACGTGTATAGGGCGTGTTAGTTTTAAGTGTATAGGGCTGGTTAGTTTTACGTGTATAGGGCTGGTAATGGGCCATTCCCATCTGTACCGGGTCGGCCCGGGCCGGGTAGCCACAGTCGGCCCCAGCCTGGCCCGGTTGATTCCACACATCCTTGTCTTAAAGAGCAAGTAACGTCTAAATTAACTTTTTTTTGCTGATGAACTGTATAAATGAGTGTCTAATAGTGTTTTAAATGTGTGTATTCATTATTTTAGTATTTTGGTGCATTTTCTTTAAAAATTAAATATTCAGCCTAAAAACCACAGTAATGCGCCACCTTCAGCTTAAAACACAGAATTTGACACATTTTGAATAAATTTTAGCCAATGGCTAAAGAGTAAGATACTACGTAAACCAGTAGAGTACTACGTAGCAGCTCTTGTGCCAAAGTTATAAAAGCAAGGAGAGTCTCGGCCACGCCTTGTGGCGAGTTGGGAGTTGGATTTGCAAGTGAGTGTCGGACGGTTAGCGGTAGTTCAGCATTAGCATATAGCATTAGCATATTATAGTCTTTAGCATAGCTTTTAGTGTTATAAATACTTATTTAGTGTTAGCTTGGCTGTTAGATATTGTAGTTTAGTTAGTGTTTGGCTTTTAGTGTTACTAGGAAATAGTTCGGGTTTAGTGTTCCATATCGTGTTAGTACTTATTTAGTGTCAGCTTGGCTGTTAGATATTGTAGTTTAGTTAGTGTTTAGCTGTTAGTTTTATTAGGAAAATAATTCGGGTTTAGTGTTCCATATAGTGTTAGTATGGTTAAAAGGTGTAGTGTAGTTGGTTGTGGTAGCTCTGTGGGGTTGCACTCCTTTCCACTGGACTTAGAAATTAGGCGCCAGTGGTTGCGCGCAATCGTGTACAGGATAACAGTCAGCTCCCGCCTGGTGCTGTAGTCTGCAACCAGCATTTTACCCGCGATTCCTTCGCCAACATGATGGAGTTTGAACTGGGTTATTCTGCACGTCTCCGTTTGAAGAGTGAGGCCGTGCCCACCGTGGCTCTTCCACGAATTAGATGCAGCCCACCGACTCTGCTCCCCCACCATGGCGGGCTCCAGTCTGAGGTGAGTAAGCTAAATAAACGTTTTAACATCTTCTAAAGACAATTCCCTACCTAAATGCAAAGTTTGAGAGACGTGGTTCACTTCCTTTAGCTAATATCAGCCTGCACTGCCTTCGGGCTAAATTGTCAAGTTCACAAAATGTGGAACGGGATGTAAGGTTAGAATCAGCGGAGAATCGGAACATTTCTCGAAGCCCTGGCCGACAAAAAGGTCCACATGACTATTTCTGTCAGGCTCGGAGAAAATCCGGGTTGTTTTTGTGTCAGTCGGTAATTCAGCAACAGTGGCTCTAACGCAGCACTAGTTGACAGACATCATTACAGCGTGAAATCCAGCTTTACACCAAAGCCTAACCCGGTTCTGTGAGGAATTCTGTTCAGGAGGTCGCATTTCAGGTTCTTCACATCATATGTGACTGACTTTTACGTTATAATAACGATCACACACTAGGAATGTCATAAAGCGCCTATATATATATATATATATATATATATATATATATATATATATATATATATATATATATATATATATATATATTTCGGACAGTTTCTTTTGTATATTATCTGACTTTATAAACAACAACAACAATGTGCTTCTATTTTTTTTTCAGGCTAAATCTACCCAAGACGTTGGCTGTCAGACTGATTTAGTAATCTGCAAAAATGCACTTGTCCAGGCTCATGTAAAGCCTTATCGACGTAGCAAAGGTGAATTATTTTTAATAATCTTCTACGTAAACATTTTATTATTACCTTCTAGTTTTTATTTGTTTTGCAGATTATTGTTACACGTGATTTTATGCTCTTTTAAACATTTATAAATGTGCTGCTTCTTTGTATTTTACATAGCCACCCAGTTTAAAGCTCACAGCCGCAGTGTGTCTTGTGACACAGGGACCGTGACGGAAATTCATCTTCCACAAAGTCCCAGAGCTGCGTCCACACCCCTGAAAAGACCACGATATGAGGTGTCTGTTGTTGATCCCAGCTTCCACCTCAATGACAGTGGAAGCTCAGTGAACTGTTCAAGGTAAAAAAAAATTATAACATTTTAGAATTTTTTAGTTATGACCATATATATAAATGTATGTGTTCTATACAGCTCTTTCACTGAGGTCCATCCACAAAAGGACAAGAAGTACATTGTTCATGAGAAACAGTTGCTGGGGCTGTTCAGAAGGTGTCCCGTTTGTACCGGTCGTTGTGTTGTGAACACGACAACAGTCGGCACACTGCTCCGTGTGACACAACGGTGTTCATGCTGTGAGCACTACAATGAGTGGTCCAGTCAGCCCATGGTGAACAGCATCCCAGCAGGAAACCTCCAGCTCTGTGCTGCTGTCCTTTTCACAGGCTCATCATTTAGCCAGATTTCTAAGGTATAGGCCAAAACTGTTTAGGTTGGTTTTGATAAGGTCTGTGCGTCTCTCATTTCATGACGTAACTTTTCATATTTTAGTTCCTGGGTGCCTTCAATGTGCAGGGACTGTCCAAGCAGACATTCTTTCGACATCAGGCAAAGCTGTTAATTCCAACAGTGAGCTGGCAGTGGCAGCTAGAGCAAGCTGATATCATCCAGGAGGCTACTGAATCTGGACCTGTGACTCTTGGTGGTGACATGCGAGCTGATTCACCTGGTGAATACTTTTAAATTTATTTATTTTATTCCTTTGCTATCAAATGTAAATTAAGTAATAACTTGCATTTCTTGAAGGAAACTCAGCCAAATATGGCAGCTGCACCATGAAGGATCTCAAAAGAAACAAAGTTACTGATATCCAACTTGTACAGGTACAACATTACCTGATGATTCCAATGCATTTCATGGTTAATTATTCACAGATCAATGGAGAATTATGTTTATTTTCAGAGCAATGAAGTTGGAAATAGTGTGCGAATGGAGAAGGAGGGATTTGTGAGAAGTCTGAGCACACTTTTGGAGAGGGGGGTCGATGTGCAGCAAGTCGTGACTGACCGCCACACAGGAGTGCAGAAGTATTTGCGGGAGGAAAAAAAGGAAATCAGTCACTACTTTGACCCCTGGCACATGGGAAAAGGTAATCTTTGTGGATGTATATAGTGAATATTACAGGATTTTTTTTCTATTTTAAATGTGGGTCTGTTTGGCTCTCCAGGAATTGGTAAGAAAATCGAAGCGCTGGGGAAGAGAAAGACGACCCAGGATGTGAGACTGTGGAAGCAAAGTGTGGTGAACCACCTCTACTGGTCAGCATCCAGTTCCTCCTCAGGACAGGAGGCAGTAGCAAAGTGGACTTCAGTTGCCAACCACATCCAAAATGTGCACAGCCATGACAACGCCCTGTTCCCTAGCTGTCTGCATGCACCTCTGGATGGAGAACAGGCAAGACAGTGGCTCAAACCAAGTAAGTGTAGCATGTACTCATTACAGCTGAGCCTTTACTGTTTGGTTTCTTTACATTTAAAACACGTCACCCCACAACAGAATATTTGTCTTCACCTCCTTCAACATGGAGAAATATTTTTGGAGCATGAGAGTTACAGACGTCACATGTGGCTGCTAAGGTCACACACCACCATTTGGCCAACAGCAATTAATTACTAAGAATAAAATGCTGTGCAGAAATTTAAACAGAAGAGTGCGCCACACAACTCATGGTTTTAGGCAGAACAGCCATAATTGACATAATATGTACTAAAATGCCGTAAGTAATTACCACACCTGTCTACAGCACTATTAGTCACTCTTTCATACATTTGTCATCTAAAAATGTCAGCTATCGGTAACTTTTTCTCAATGAAATAATAGCAACATTCTAAAGTTGATCAAATTGTAATTTTTGTAATTAACATTTTCTACTTAGGCACAGCATCATGTGAGAAGCTCACTGCCATTCTGTTAGCTCCACGGTTTGTGAAGGACGTAGAGAAGATAAGCCCTCAGTACCACACATCCACCTTGGAGGCTTTCCACAGTCTCATCATCAGATTTACTCCAAAAAGTCAGGTCTTCTCCTTCAAAGGAATGCTGTCTAGGTAATGAATACAACAAATGTTCAAAATAATGCCTCTAATTGTTCAAATTTTAGAATGAAATGTAGAATTTTGCCTAAAATCTACATGGTTTGTTTATTTGATTATTTCAGATTACAAATTGCTGCAATGCACTATAATGAAAATGCAGCACGCTCACATGCAGCAACAGCAACTGGTGAGCTGAGATATGCTGTAGTGTACCCAAAGTACAAACATGGAGACTACACAGTGAGAGCCCTGAAGACCAATCCAACCTCATGTATGTCATATATTGTATGATAAAACCAAAATGATGTCATGGAGAGCTATTGTAATACTGAAAACCCTTTTCCAGTATATGTGCACAAGCTTATAGATCTGCTGTTCGACTCTGTGGTGGTGGATCCTCTCCCATATCAGGAGTACTCGGACAAAATTCCGGTTCCAGAACCGCTCTGTGCCCAGTTCCAAAGACCAGATAAACGGGATGCTGTGAGCAGGCACAGGTCCAGGTTTTAAAGTGCACGTAAGGTGAGCTACACAACAAGAGATTGTAATTATTAGTTAGTACTCTACTCTGTGTGGTTTTTCCTTTTCTCCTCCTCAGCCAGGCTGCACACCACTGTACGACAGAGGAGTTACCTGTCGTCATTATGGATCTTTATGCTCATCCACTCGTGACTCATGCTGTCCACCTCCCAGATGTCTATTGATCTCTACAACCTTTCTGCTCTGTGGCTCCCATACAACTTGAAAATCTTGGCCGTATGTAACATAACAAAACTCACCAGTCTTGCTTTTGTAAGTCATACTAGTCATACTAATATTACTTTTTTCCTCAGAGCCTCCTGATATTGTTACAGAAAAGCCTGTGCTCCCGGGATCCATCTCCACGTTTGTCATCACAGTGAAAGCTACCTCCAGTCTAAGGAACCAAAGAAACATCACTGATGGCCCAACCTATCCTCACATGGCTCCAGAATCTCTGCTTGTGGTTTAGAGTTTTGTCAAAAATCATGAAAGTTATGATCAGATTGTAATCTAACGTTGTCTTAGTAGTAGCTATAATAAATGTTATCTTTAAAGCGCAATTGTGTCATTTTAAATACAATTATATTGATATTTTGATTTGTATAAATACATATATCACATTTATTAAATTATCATTCATTTTTACCTAATTGAACCTGCTCTAGATTAGACTTCATTAATCACACAGGGTGTAAACTCACTTGTTACAGCAGCATTAATTAACCCCGAATTAGAACCTTACTGTTGTAAGAGCTCATTTGAAAAGTGTGTGGCTATATGTGTGTATATATAAATAATGTCAAAGTGTAAAGAAGTGCATTTACCGTTTTGTGATTTATGCAGCTTTTTATGGACAGGAATCAATACAGGAAATATATATTATAACATTTATTTAATCCAAAAAATATATATTAGTTCAGAGGAGGGAGGAATCCTTTGTATGCACCGTCTTCTGGGAACTCCTGCCTTATTCTGGAGACAGCGCATGACGGGATCACAACACGAACGTGCTGTCCCAGGTAACCCCAACACCACCTGACCACATTCCGGTACGCCAGATGTCTGTAACAGCTGAGAAAGAGGTGGTATGAGTTATAAAGTATTCATAAAAAAATTATTTTGACAGTTGTCTTACCTGTTGAGCGTAGTCTCCTGCATCTCCCCATAGAGTTGCAGAAAGCTGCCATAAACTGCCTGCAACACGTAGGGATTCAGAGCAACAGCCTCAAAACCAGGATGCTCTGTTATGCAGGAGGTTACACCCACCTGCTGACACCTGAGCATTACCTATGACAAAGAACAACTGATATCAGGGCTATAAGAGTTCAATATTAGTATGATGTTAGTGATTGTGTAACAAATGTGTACATTACAGAATGCTTTTCTCATGGTGGGGTACTTTTATTTTTATACCTTGGGCGTTTCTCTGCAGCACACATTTTCTCTGGCAGACAATGATGTGCAGTGGCCAAAGGTGCACCTGTTGAGGCAGTCATACAAAATTACTTTTAGCTAAGCTAAATATAGCTAGCTGTGGCTAAAAGCTACTTACCACTCAGAGACTGGACCCATTAGATGCCTTGATACTCCTGCTGGCTCGACTCCAGGGGCCTCTGACAACTCACGAGCTAGTGGCTCAAAAAGATACGGTTCAGGACCGCTTGCTTCCCCCAATAAGCCCTCCTCCCTATCCTCTGGGGAAGAAGGTGGGGAAAAGTCCTCCACCTCGAATGACTGCTCTGAGCTACTGTCGCTCTCCGTCGCCATCTGTATTCAAATTTCAGTATGTCAATCACGGTCGTAGCTCCGCCTTCTCGGTCTTACAGGAAACGCCTCTTTGGGCCGCATTTTTCAAATATGAAATGTGGGTGGAGTAAGACTCTGACAGGGGATTACCACTACTTTAAGCCCATGTTGGCTGATTCTACCCACCAATCAGAGGCTTGCTCTAATGGAAGGTGTGAATTTGCTGTCAGCAGTGGGTATGTTGGCCCTTGTCGGCCTGAAGCAGACCCCCTCGAGAAGAGGGCTGAGAATGAGCCTTGGTTGGCCCGGAAAAAAACCAGGCCACCCAGATATGTAAACAACCTAGGCTACCCGTCCCGGGCCGACCCGGTACAGATGGAAATGGCCCATTAGTTTTACGTGTATAGGGCTGGTTAGTTTTACGTTTATAGGGCTGGTTAGTTTTACGTTTATAGGGCAGGTTAAGTTTGCGTGTATAGGGCTGGTTAGTTTTACGTGTATAGGGTGGGTTTGTTGGTTGGTTGGTTTTATGTGTATAGAGCTGGTTGGTTGGTCGGTTAGTTTTATGTGTATAGAGCTGGTTAGTTTGACGTGTATAGGGCTCGTTAGTTTTACGTGTATAGGGCTCGTTAGTTTTACGTGTATATGGCTGGTTAGTTTTATGTGTATAGGGCTGGTTAGTTTTACGTGTATAGGGCTGGTTAGTTTTGCGTGTATAGGGCTGGTTAGTTTTACAGGTATAGGGCTGGGTTGTTTTACGGGTATAGGGTGGGTTTGTTGGTTGGTTGGTTGGTTTTATGTGTATGGAGCTGGTTAGTTTTATGTTTATAGAGCTGGTTGGTTGGTTGATACGTTTTAGGTGTATAGAGCTGGTTAGTTTTATGTGTATAGAGCTGGTTAGATTTACGTGTATAGGGCTGGTCAGTTTTACGTGTATAGGGCTGGTCAGTTTTACGTGTATAGGCTTGTTAGTTTTACGTGTATAGTGCTGGTTAGTTTTACGTGTATAGGGCTGGTTAGTTTTACGTGTATAGGGCTGGTCAGTTTTACGTGTATAGGGCTGGTCAGTTTTACGTGTATAGGGCTGGTTAGTTTTACGTGTATAGGGCTAGTTAGTTTAACGTGTATAGGGCTGGTCAGTTTTACATGTGTAGGGCTGGTCAGTTTTACATGTGTAGGGCTGGTTACTTTTACGTGTATAGGGCTGGTTACTTTTACGTGTATAGGGCTGGTTACTTTTACGTGTATAGGGCTGGTTACTTTTATGTGGATAGGGCTGGTGAAGTTTGCGTGTATAGGGCTGGTTAGTTTTACGTGTATAGGGTTGGTTTCTTGGTTGGTTAGTTTTACGTGTATAGAGCTGGTTAGTTTTACGTGTATAGAGCTGGTTGGTTGGTTGGTTAGTTTCATGTGTATAGAGCTGGTTAGTTTTACGTGTATAGGGCTCGTTAGTTTTACGTGTATAGGGCTGGTTAGTTTTGCGTGTATAGGGCTGGTTGGTTTTACGGGTAAAGGGTGGGTTTGTTGGTTGGTTGGTTTTATGTGTATGGAGCTGGTTAGTTTTACGTGTATAGAGCTGGTTTGTTGGTTGGTTAGTTTTACGAGTATAGAGCTGGTTAGTTTTATGTGCATAGAGCTGGTTAGTTTTACGTGTATAGGACTGGTTACTTTTACGTGTATAAGGCTGGTTACTTTTAGGTGTATAGGGCTGGTTACTTTTACGTGTATAGGGTTGGTTACTTTTATGTGTATAGGGCTGGTTAAGTTTGCGTGTATAGGGCTGGTTAGTTTTACGTGTATAGGGTTGGTTTCTTGGTTGGTTAGTTTTACGTGTATAGAGCTGGTTGGTTGGTTAGTTTTATGTGTATAGAGCTGGTTAGTTTTACGTGTATAGGGCTCGTTAGTTTTACGTGTATAGGGCTGGTTAGTTTTGCGTGTATAGGGCTGGTTAGTTTTACGGGTAAAGGGTGGGTTTGTTGGTTGTTTGGTTTTATGTGTATGGAGCTGGTTAGTTTTATGTGTATAGAGCTGGTTTGTTGGTTGGTTAGTTTTACGAGTATAGAGCTGGTTAGTTTTACGTGTATAGGGCTGGTCAGTTTTACGTGTATAGGCCTGGTCAGTTTTACGTGTATAGGGCTGGTCAGTTTTACATGTATAGGGCTGGTTACTTTTACGTGTATAGGGCTGGTTACTTTTACATGTATAGGGCTGGTTACTTTTACGTGTATAGGGCTGGTTACTTTTATGTGTATAGGGCTGGTTAAATTTGCGTGTATAGGGCTGGTTAGTTTTACGTGTATAGGGTTGGTTTGTTGGTTGGTTAGTTTCTACGTGTATAGAGCTGGTTAGTTATACGTGTATAGAGCTGGTTGGTTGGTTGGTTAAGTTTTATGTGTATAGAGCTGGTTAGTTTTACGTGTATAGGGCTGGTTAGTTTTACGTGTATAGGGCTGGTTAGTTTTGCATGTATAGGGCTGGTTAGTTTTACGGGTATAGGGTGGGTTTGTTGGTTGGTTAGTTTTACGTGTATAGAGCTGGTTAGTTATACGTGTATAGAGCTGGTTGGTTGGTTGGTCAGTTTTATGTGTATAGAGCTGGTTAGTTTTACGTGTATAGGGCTGGTTAGTTTTACGTGTATAGGGCTGGTTAGTTTTGCGTGTATAGGGCTGGTTAGTTTTGCATGTATAGGGCTGGTTAGTTTTACGGGTATAGGGTGGGTTTTTTGGTTTGTTGGTTTTATGTGTATGGAGCTGGTTAGTTTTATGTGTATAGAGCATGTTAGTTTTACGTGTATAGGGCTGGTCAGTTTTACATGTATAGGGCTGGTCAGTTTTACGTTTATAGGGCTGGTTAGTTTTACGTGTATAGGGCTGGTTAGTTTTACGTGTATAGGGCTGGTTAGTTTTACGTGTATAGGGCTGGTTAGTTTTGCGTGTATAGGGCTGGTTAGTTTTGCGTGTATAGGGCTGGTTAGTTTTACGTGTATAGGGCTGGTTAGTTTTACGTGTATAGGGCTGGTTAGTTTTACGTGTATAGGGCTGGTTAGTTTTGCGTGTATAGGGGTGGTTAGTTTTACGTGTATAGGGCTGGTTAGTTTTACGTGTATTGGGCTGGTTAGTTTTACGTGTATTGGGCTGTTAGTTTTACGTGTATTGGGCTGTTAGTTTTACGTGTATAGGGCTGGTTAGTTTTACGTGTATAGGGCTGGTTAGTTTTACGTGTATAGGGCTGGTAATGGGCCATTCCCATCTGTACCGGGTCGGCCCGGGCCGGGTAGCCACAGTCGGCCCTGCCTGGCCCGGTTGATTCCACACATCCTTGTCTTAAGCCCATGTGGGCTGATTCTACCCACCAATCAGAGGCTTGCTCTAATGGAAGGTGTGAATTTGCTGTCAGCAGTGGGTGTGTTGGCCCTGGTCGGCCTGAAGCAGACCCCCTCGAGAAGAGGGCTGAGAATGAGGCTTGGTTGGCCCGTAAAAATACCAGGCCACCCAGATATGTAAACAACCTACGCTACCCGGCCCGGGCCGACCCGGTACAGATGGAAAAGGCCCATTAGTTCACGTGAATAGGGCTGGTTAGTTTTATGTTTATAGGGCTGGTTAGTTTTATGTGTATAGGGCTGGTTACTTTTACGCGTTTAGGACAGGTTAAGTTTGCGTGTATAGGGCTGGTTAGTTTTACGTGTATAGGGTGGGTTTGTTGGTTGGTTGGTTTTATGTGTATAGAGCTGGTTGGTTGGTCGGTTAGTTTTATGTGTATAGAGCTGGTTAGTTTGACGTGTATAGGGCTTGTTAGTTTTACGTGTATAGGGCTGGTTAGTTTTACGTGTATAGGGCTGGTTAGTTTTACGTGTATAGGGCTGGTTAGTTTTGCGTGTATATGGCTGGTTAGTTTTAGGGGTATAGGGCTGGTTAGTTTTACGTGTATAGGGCTGGTTAGTTTTACGTGTATAGGGCTGGTTAGTTTTGCGTGTATAGGGCTGGTTAGTTTTACAGGTATAGGGCTGGTTTGTTTTACGGGTATAGGGTGGGTTTGTTGGTTGGTTGGTTGGTTTTATGTGTATGGAGCTGGTTAGTTTTATGTTTATAGAGCTGGTTGGTTGGTTGATACGTTTTAGGTGTATAGAGCTGGTTAGTTTTACGTGTATAGAGCTGGTTAGATTTACGTGTATAGGGCTGGCCAGTTTTACGTGTATAGGGCTGGTCAGTTTTACGTGTATAGGGCTGGTCAGTTTTACGTGTATAGTGCTGGTTAGTTTTACGTGTATAGGGCTGGTTAGTTTTACGTGTATAGGGCTGGTCAGTTTTACGTGTACAGGGCTGGTCAGTTTTACGTGTATAGGGCTGGTTAGTTTTACGTGAATAGGGCTAGTTAGTTTAACGTGTATAGGGCTGGTCAGTTTTACATGTGTAGGGCTGGTCAGTTTTACATGTGTAGGGCTGGTTACTTTTACGTGTATAGGGCTGGTTACTTTTACGTGTATAGGGCTGGTTACTTTTACGTGTATAGGGCTGGTTACTTTTATGTGGATAGGGCTGGTGAAGTTTGCGTGTATAGGGCTGGTTAGTTTTACGTGTATAGGGTTGGTTTCTTGGTTGGTTAGTTTTACGTGTATAGAGCTGGTTAGTTTTACGTGTATAGAGCTGGTTGGTTGGTTGGTTAGTTTTATGTGTATAGAGCTGGTTAGTTTTACGTGTATAGGGCTCGTTAGTTTTACGTGTATAGGGCTGGTTAGTTTTGCGTGTATAGGGCTGGTTGGTTTTACGGGTAAAGGGTGGGTTTGTTGGTTGGTTGGTTTTATGTGTATCGAGCTGGTTAGTTTTACGTGTATAGAGCTGGTTTGTTGGTTGGTTAGTTTTACGAGTATAGAGCTGGTTAGTTTTATGTGTATAGAGCTGGTTAGTTTTACGTGTATAGGACTGGTTACTTTTACTTGTATAGGGCTGGTTACTTTTAGGTGTATAGGGATGGTTACTTTTACGTGTATAGGGCTGGTTACTTTTATGTGTATAGGGCTGGTTAAGTTTGCATGTATAGGGCTGGTTAGTTTTACGTGTATAGGGTTGGTTTCTTGGTTGGTTAGTTTTACGTGTATAGAGCTGGTTAGTTTTACGTGTATAGAGCTGGTTGGTTGGTTGGTTAGTTTTATGTG